CATTGGAGTTGTGGCAAGAAGAGATATCTCAGAGCTCAGCACAGAAAAAATGATGAGGAAGTAAGAGGTAGCCATTGAGTTTTAAAGAAGAAAAACAACAGTAATTTAAGGAAGCAGCTTTTCCAAACAAAAGGAGGCTTCAGTGTGATTGATGACGAGAGAAGGTCCAGTGGAGAATAGAACCAAATTATTGCAGAAGGGGTATTGGGGCTCAGTGGAGGCTAGAATAAATAAAACAACCTTGGGATGATGATGTCCCTTGATGGCATTCTTTTGTTGTTGTTGTTGTTTTGTTTTGCTTTTGGCAAGGTAGGAGGGAAGTACATTTGTACGTGCAAGGTCAGGAAGTGGATTGAAGCGTGGTAGGACTATGGATTTAAGTAGTTTAAAGAAGATTAACAATGGCCATTATTTTTAAAAATGGTAGGTGAACTCCTAGAACTCAATACATAAATTATGACGTGACATTTTGAGTCAAAATGAGTCATTTTAGCAAAGCAGGCCCTGCTTACTAGGACTTAAGACTGTGTTAGCATTGAAAGTTTATTTTTTTGCATTGGAACCATTAAGAAGAGACAAGAGAAAAATAAACACTTGTGGTTAATGAAAATGCCTCTCATCTTTGGAAGAAACTGCTTGCTCTGTTTTCTTTGGATATCCATATATCCAACGAAAAGAAGAACCTATTTATTTAGATGTGATTGGGTCTAATTTAACAACAGAGTCAGACTGAAAAAGGAACTTCTCTCAAAGTATGTGAAATTCCATCATTTCATATCTTCTTAGATTAAGGATTGATTTCTGTGTTCAGACCTTTTTTAGGATGCAAATGCTCTTGTAAGGGTTACTATGTTAAGAAGTTCATGTTAACTAACTCTCTTGGCAGGAGCCCTGATGGAAGGGTGGAAGGTTTGCAAAAAATAAAAAATAAAAAAAAGGCAAAGGAGAGGTGAAAAAGAAAGGCAAATACTGCCTGCTTCTTTACTTAGCTTCCATAATTTTGCCCAAAGTGCTGTGGACAACACATGCGAACGGTGGATTAGAGCTGGACTGTGAGCGCCAGCTGCTCCCTGCTGACATGCAGTCCTCACTTGGTGCTTTATGTGTACGGACTCGGTGAATGCTCACAACACTTTGATGAGGTGGACACTATTATTATCCCTCAATGTGTAGTGAGGGGTCACTCAGCTAGTGGGCAGGTGAGCAGGATTTTAATCCAGACCCTCTGGCCCCTGGGCTGACAATACTATGTACTAGGGGCCTCTGCTGGGAAAGAGCCCTAATTTTTCATTCCTGACTCACTCCTTCAACCAAAAATTCAAGGTGTTTTGAATTTTTATACACATGAAAAAAACAAATTTGATTTGTGTTCATGTTTTATATTATTTTCTTTAATGTGCAGATCTATCACATCAGAAATGGTGTGAAAAAAGGGGTAGACTGAGGACTATAAAATAGGTGGTATTTGTTTTTCAAACTACGGATAAAATGTGGGGGCTTAGATAAAAATTAGAGTCTATACTGGCTTTTCCACACCAGGATTTTTAGAAGAAGACAAAGGTATACTTACATTTCTTTATGTTAAATGCCTTGTCCAATTTATCTCCTTTTCACATTGCCATGCTTGATCCAAAGGTCTGGAGGACTTGTTTCATCAAGATTATATTATCAAGTTCTTTATTTTGCAGATGAAAAATAGAGGCTGAGAGGATTTAGGCACTTTATCAGGCTAAGACCAGTGTAATAGCAAGGTGTTTTAAAATAAGACCTTTGATTCATTTTTAACTTTAACACTAAAATTTGAATACTTTTATATACATGTTTTTAACATATGGAAATTAAAAGCAGCCCCTGGGACACTGTATTAAGTTATTGCTTTATTTGGAGATTGATGAAATAATTTTATTTTACCTTGTACGAAAGTTGTTGGTAGATCAGGGTCATTTAAGAAAGTTCAAGCAAAGGTGTGAAACACTTTATTTTACATGTGTGTTTTTCTCCCAGTTATTATTAATGCTCAATCTGCATTAACAGAAGAAAAATAATTTGGCTGCTAAGTTACTCGACTATAGGATTTCAAAGTACCTTATTAGAGAGGGATGTAATTTCATCCTCTGGCCCTTTTATATAACAGAGTGCATATTTGGGTTACTTTACTTTGACCCGGAATTAAACAATAGATTAAAGTTGTGTGCAGGAAGTTCAAGTTTTTATTCAACAAAATTTGAAAAGGATATTATGGTTGTTTCTCAAACTGCTCAGGCTGTCTTTATACTTTATGACTTTATATTCTTCTTATTTTAGCTTTTAAAGTATTTTATACTTTTGTCTGAATAGCTTCTGCCTCAAAGTTTTCTGTTTATTTCATAAGTTTTATAAAATGTGGGTATATGATAAGTACTGTGTATAATCAGTAATTTTTAAATGAATAACTTTGACAAACTGATACACATCAATGCTTTGGTATATTGCTCAACTACATATGACCATAGTTTAGTTTGGGGATTCTTTAATGAGAAAGAGTAGATGTTACAGGATGCAACTGCTTCACATATTAAATATTAAGGGAAGTAAGCTTGAAAGCCTGTAAATTCAAAGTAAAAAGTCTTTACGACTCAGTTTTGAGAGCATTTCCATAAGATGAAGCAGACAAAGAATGTCAGGGCCCTGCCAACTCCAGCCATCTAGCAGTGTGCCTGTCCTTCTCCAGCCTCCGTGAAGGTAGCAGTCTCTGCTCCCTCCCTCAGGCCTGCAGGGCCCCTTCCATTCAGTCCTCTGTGATTTGCATGATAATATCCACATTGATTCATGTTTGGGGTGATTGTTTCCATCCTCACTGTGAGATTCTGGAATTCTTACTTTGTTTCCAGGAAGTGAAGTTTACATTGGCTGGGGTCCCAGCTAGACTGATGCTTTTTTCTCATTTTGTTTGTTTGTTTAATATCTTAGATTTTGAAAGTCATTCAGAATTAAAGGACCTGCATATTATCCTAAGAAGATAATTTGTGATTGAAGCTCTTTGTGAAAAATCACAAGAGGTGTTTAAATGTTTAAGTGACTTGTTATGGATGGATGGATAAGAAAGAGGCTGTTCTGCATGCTCTTCTGCTGAACATTTACAGGGCACTTAATGTAATGGCATCTGCTTACTTTCTGGGTGATTCAGACAGATTCCACCGTGCATGAGTTACTCCACAGAAGTAGGTCAGGAATCACCAGTGATAATTTTAGGTTATGCATACTTGTATTTCAGAATGTTGAATGAATGTGCTAATCTACAAGTGAGTAAATTTTACATTGAATGTTTCTGATTTAATAGTTTTAATATTTTAATGCTAGATTAATTTTCCCTCTTAGTTTGTTATTGTTTCTTGCATTGTAATTAGAATTGTATATACAGTATTTTAATTCTTGAGCCCTTAATGTCAAGCTTGAGACTTAAGGGAATTAATTGAAGGCCTTCAGGATATTGGTGCTTGTTACATGGATTGAATGTTGATGTTGAGGTCTTAAGCTCCAAGTTGCTTTGCTGTTCGATTCTATTAGACTGAATATACACAGGATTTGGTGGTGGGAGAGGAGTGTACTCCCATTGCCTGCCTTTCTCTATGTTTGGGACAAGCAACAAATTTAGCAATTGGTAGAAAAGGGAAATTTTTGTTTTACTATAATTTTTCAGACTTTATTAAATAATATCCTTTGACATCTGGATGTATAATCAAAAGCCCCCAGAAATTTACGTATGTCTATTTAACTAGCTTTGTTCTTTTCCTAAATATTCCTTTGTCAGAGTCTTTGCATGTTTAAGCTTGGAAATAGCAGAGACCAAGCAGTCCACCTTTTATCATTCCACAGATGCAATTAAGAGTAAACCAAAGACCAGGGTGATTAAAGAGGCTGATCAGGGTCACAGGGCCAGTGGGCGGTGGAGTTGGGTGTCAAGCTTGTGTTTTCCAATCCCAGGCTGTGTTCTTTACAGTCTCAGCATGCTTGGTTTTGTTCATGTCCCAGAGCTTTAGGCTAGGACTTCTGTTGAAGTTTAGAGTCTGGGGAAACTGTCATTCTACGATTTTTTGCAGTCACACAGGGTATAAGCCTTTACCGAAAATTTCAGACTGATTGGAATTCACATGACGGTACCGTATCCAGTTCCCAGCATTCCATGGCACACTGAAAACCCTGAGCCAGGATGTCTCATCCATGACAGGATAATCTGAGGCATCTCACACTGAACCCAACCACAGTGCCCTGTGGCACAGAGAATGCCAACTAACTTTAATTGTTTGTGATGAAAATGTCATTAGTAAAAATGAAATGATCTTCAGAAAGGACATAAGCATTGTAGAGAAAGTTACTGTTGTGTATCCTGTGTTGTCCACATCAAGAGCTGTTTTATTAGTCATGTTTACCTTTCTGTTTCTGTTTCTTTGAGATTCAGAAGTCATTATGTGCTCAGTGGCAGCAGTGGGTTTCAAACGGGGTGTTCTGTACACTTCACAATTCCTCTCTTTCTCTCTTTCTTTTAGCTTGACTTTGACTATTTAACTCTTATTTTGGAGCAGATTTAATATATAAGTCCCCACCAGAAATGCTTTTTTTTTTTAGAAACTAGAGAGATTCTATGGAAATTACACATTCATAAACATGCATCTTTTTTAGGGTATGGAGGATAGGGAGTTGAGCACATATAAAACACTGTTCAGGGTTTCTAATTCCATTTTTAGCCAACAATTTTCAACACTTCCACTTGCCTAGTAGTCATTTACCTTTTTTCTCCTTTTTTTAACAGAATCATGACTTTGTTGAGGGCCACCAAACTGTCCTAGATGTTGAATTTGTCAAAGCCAGATTTATGGTATTCTCAGTCCTTTTTGAAAGTGATTGGTCTAGTGTTAGGCAAGTGACCCAAGGGACTTCTGGGAAAGATCTTATTTCATCTAAATACAGTGCTGCAGGACAGAGGCTTCCTTTCTTTCATCCCTTCATTTCTTACTGCTTAGGAGGCTGTTACAGGAGAATGTGATGTGGTAGCATTCTCTGACAATGAGGTGATAAGCCTAAGAATGAAAAACCAACATGCTAAGGATGGCCAAACAGAAGGACAGAGAGAAGAACTTGCATTGCTGAGGACATTATTGAGCTGCCAAGCCTGGAACATCCTCCTTCAAGACTTCTTGCTTGTGAGATAATTATGTTTTTAATTGAGATATCCTGTTATATTGTTAAGATTTGTGTAGGTGTTTTCACTCCTTGGTGGAAATGAAAAAAAAAGTAGAAATTATTTTCCCTGTCCTTAGAATCACAAAACTGACTTTTTTTTTAAAAAAAAGAAAGATTTTATTTATTTAATTTTAGAGAATGGGGAAGTGTGGGAGAAAGAGAAGGAGAGAAACATTGATCAGTTGCCTCTGGTATGCACCCCCGCCAGGGACCAAACCCGCAACCCAGGCATGTTCCATGACTGGGAATCAAACCAGTGACCTTTTGCTTTGCGGGATGATGCCCAACCAGCTGAGCCACACTGGTCAGGGCACAAAACTGACTTTTAAAATGAGATGAGAATCCTTCTGAATTCAGAGATCATCACATTTAACTTGTTGTAAGTTTCATTTTTATTGAGATATATACCACAAACTGCGTGCATGCCTGGGTATATGCTTGTGTGTGTGCATATTCTGATACAATTCCTTTATCAAATATATGTACTTCACAGATGTTTTCTCACATTCTGTCTTGCTTTTTCATGGTCTTAGTACCTTGTTCATTACAAAAAGCAAAGGAAATTAAGGAAAAACGAACCCACTATAATTTTGATTGGCATTGCATTGATTCTATAGATAAAGGGGAGAATTGACTTCTTAACAATGAACACTGAGTCTTCTGACCCACTTAGCCATGCCTTCTTTAATGGCACTCAGAAATGTTTTGTAGTTTTCAGTATATAAATCTTGCACAGCTTGTCAGACTCATATCTTAGTATTTCATATTTCTGATGCTATTGCACAAGTTTTTTATTTCAGTTTTCATTCCTGGTATTGAACACATGGAAATAAGTTGATATTAGTATATTGACCTTTTATTATACAACCTTACTGAATAAGTATTAGTTCTATTATATTTGACTTTCTATGTAGACAATCATATTGTCTGTATATAAAGACAGTTGTAATATTTCATTCCTTAGTCTAAATGCCTTTTATTTCTCTTTATTGCTGTATCTCAGTGGCTAGAAATTCCAGGTCAGTGTTGAATAGCAGTTGAGAGACCATTCTTTAGACTTCTTCACATGAGTTTGAGGGTGGAATCTATAAATGAAACTCTTTAGAAGGCTTCTGATTGATTTTGGGGAAAAATACATTTTGCATTCTTCTCTATATCTTTACAATTTAAAATATAAAAAATAAAATTTAAAAACTTAATAATTAAATTATCTTGCAGAGGAACAGTCTGTTCCCCAATTTCAAACAATAAAGAAAGTTCTAGTTCAGGAAGAGCTGTTGTATTTAATCCTGTGTTTTTGATAGCATGTTTCCTAAAACCTAATTTGAGAAACAAGGTAGATAATAAAATATGGGTCATGTAAAATATATAAAAAAATACAAAGTAATGTAAAAAATGTTGTAGAACATTATACTCAGTTATATCATAGGCTGTATTATTAATTTATCTCAGGCCTCTACAACCAAATTGTAAGTTTCTTCAAGGCATGCTGCATCTTATTCTTTATTTTATCTACAATAACATGTAGGAAAGCCTTATGTAAATTTTGTGGAATGATTTTCAAAGGAATTTACTCAATTTACACATGTGGAGATCAAGAGAAATAAGCAAGAGCATCATTATATTTATTGTACTTGGGTGATTAGAAAGCTGGTGTGTGTGAGTTTGGGGCCAGATTGGTAAAAAGGATAGGGTGCCTATGAACTAGAAGTAGATTACATGTCTATTATGATTGAGAAATGACACAGAACAATGTTTCTCATATCGGGATATGTATATCCAGAGGTCCATGGATATATTTCTTGAGGGACCCGATTCCAAGCTGTTTATAAATGCTTCTGAAATATATGTTTGAGGTAACGAAACTACTACACATATGTTTGTGTTATGTGAATAACCATGAACTTATATAACAAGTAATTCTGTGAAATTTTAGTATTGTAGTTTACATTTTTTAATTATATTTTATTAACTCAAACTGATCACATAGTGTCAACGTTTATTTAGTTAACCTAATTTCCGAATATTTCTCAAATTAGACTCTGCAGATCATATTCTTAAAGGCCTTAAAATCTGAGAGACACAGATCTAGGACAGTGAGCTAGGACAGGCTGGATGAGGCAGTACTGTGGTGCCCCAGATGGTCCTAGTCTCCATGTCTTCCTTGCCCAGCCTTCTGAGATCAGGGGGGAAGGACCTCCTGTTTTCTTGAGTGGCCAGTCCATGCTGCCCCTGCTTCTTTGCTCTCCCCTGGACCTTTCCCATGGCTCCTAGACCAGGAGAGTGCTGTCTTCTCTTGACACTGCTTTGCCTCACACTGCCCACATCCTTCTTGAGTTACTGCTGCCGCGTTCTGTGACCACGAGGCAGTTATTGTCGCAGACCCGAGCTTCTGGGGCAGGTTGTAGAGTGAGTACAGTGAAATGTAAGAAATAACTTGAAACTCACTGTCATAAACTACAGTTTATAGAAATTCATTAGTCATTCATTGCCCACTGATCATCCAAACCAGAGGTCTCTTCGCTCTTGCACTAGACTCCCATGGTCTCTCTGTCTTTCATTCCTTTTGCATCTCCCCATCTTCTCCTGGCATTCTGATTTTCTCTTTTGTCCTCAACATTCTCAGCTTCTCTCACTTTATTGAGCAGAAATTTAGTTCTGTCTTTTTCATGGAGTAACTATCCAGTCTATCAAACATCCACTGAAAAATACCAAAGTTTTATTTTTTTTAAGATTTTATTTACTTTTTAGAGAGAGGGTGGGAGGGAGGGGGAAAGAGAGGGAGAGAAACATCAAACGGTTGCTTCTCACCTGCTCACAAATGGGGACCTGGCATGTAACCCAAGTATGTGCCCTGACTGGTAATTAAACTAGCAACCTTTTGGTTCTCAGGCCAGTACTCCATACACTGAGCCATACCAGCCAGGGCCAAAGTTTTAATTTTCTAAAAATATGTATGCCCTGGAAGGGGGTCATGACATTTCCTATGAGGACATGTCACCTATAGCAGTAATCTTTCTTTCTATTACAACTGACACATAAATATGTATATTGACTTAACAGAGTATACATTTAATATATGTATGTTCATGCATTTCATAAACTTTATTTTTCATTTTTATATGTAAAAATACATGGGAAATAAATGAATTTTTGTTATCAAGAATGTCTCAGGAATCCTTGATGATGGAATACTATAGTTATAATTTATGAAAGAAGAAGAAAAGGCAACAGAGCATTTTGCAAGGGACACTATAGTTAGGACCAGAAAAAATGGTTTCCAGCCCCATCTCAGTCACTCGGTTATTCTGACACTTGGGCTGCAGCGACTTGCCTCCTCTGAGCCTTGTCCGCACCCTGTAACTTTCATCTCTGCCTGCCCTCATGGGGTCAGACTGAGACTGTGCTTTCTAATCCACAGGCTGCTTTAAAAATGTAACTGTTAGAACATTGTGATGATGATCATCTTCTTCCTCTGAACTAAAAGGTTCTTTTTCTGTGGTATATATTCATAGGTACGCTATTCATAGGCTTGTCCTTGTAAATGATTTATATGTACTTGAATGGATGATGTAGGGTCTAGACTATACTTTAGTCCACTGAATGAAGAACAATAAATAGCATATTCTTGGTCTTTTGCCTTTATGTTGTCATTCAACATTTTAAAAACTGCCTATTATTAAAAAGTAGAGATCAGTCCTGCCGTTTCTAAAGGACTAATCCACATTGCATTGGTTAGACATTTTAAAACTTTCTCCCTTATTTGAATATCCAGAGTAAATTTCTTGTGCTGTAGTATAATAAGGCAGGCTATGAACCAATATCGGTAAACATTATCCCCCACCCCACAAGATAGTATGTATAATTCTAAATATATTTCATGGATTTAAAAGTTAATATTTTTCCTATTTATTTTAAGACTTTATTTTTTAGAGCAGTGATTTAGGCTCACAACAAAATTGAGGGGAAGGTATAGAGGTTTTCTCTACCCGCTACCTCAGCACACGCATAACCTCCTACATTATTGACTTCCCCCACGAAAGTGGTACATTTCCTACACTTAGTCGAATCCATGATGACACATCAGAATTACCCAAAGTCCATAGTTTTGAGTCATTATATTTCACCCTTGCTGTTGGACATAATATACATTTGGATAAATGTCTAAATGGTAGGCATCCATTATTATAATATCATACACAGTATTTTCACTGCCCTGGAAATTCTCTGTGCTCCACATATTTGCCCATTTCCTCCTCCCATCTGCACTGCCTGACAACCACTAATCTTTTTACTGTTGCAATAGTTTTGCATTTTCCAGAATATTGTGTATTTGGAATCATAAAGTATGTAGCCTTTCAAATTGGCTTCTTTCACTAAGTAATAACAATGAAGATTCCTCTGTATCTTCTCATGGCTTGGTAACTCATTTCTTTTTAGCACTGAGTAGTATTCCATTGTCTGGAGGTACCACAGTGTATTAATCCATTCACCTACTGATGGACATTGTAGTTGCTTCTGTGATTTGGCAATTATGAATAAAGCTGCTGTAAACATCCATGTGCAGGTTTTTGTGTGGACATATGAGATCTGTCTGGAAAAAGTCCAGCCATTTTTAATATAATGAGAATGGTTTGCATGACATTGAAGTAACCTGGCAGCCAAGGAGAGTGGACTGGAATGTGCATGTGTGAACAATGATAACTTCACTGTACTAGTCAATGGGGTAGACGCTGTTGAGTGAGCATGTGTACTGTGTGGCTGTTACATTCAAGATGACTAAGTGGATGGAGCAATGAATCTGCATCAAATTTTGCATTTAGCTTAAACATTCCTTCATGGAAATTGTGAATCAGAAGGCTGCAGCTATGGGAAACTGGTGATTGGCAGCTTCATCATGACAACGTGCCCACCCATGCATCACATCTTGTGACACATCAAATCACCCAGGTGACCCAGC